TCGTTCACAATATGTTTTTGATGTTCTTCTTGTGACGCACGATGGTGTCGTAGCGGAAAAATTAATTTTTAAAGTTTCAATTTTGTATGTAATTTTACCACAAAGTGGTGTTTAAAAATATAATATATTAATTGTGAATGATTCTTTTTTTTTAATCTTTTTTATTAATATTTTCAATGGACAAAGGTTAAAATATTTCTATTATGAAGTATATTCTAAGTAGTATTCAATTTTGAATATATTTTTATATCTTTTATTGATAGATCATAATTATAAAAATTTAAATTAACTTTGAATCTTCCTCAGAATATGAGAAGTAAATTTTTATTGATTGTATTTATACATAAATATTGCTTTAAAAATGTCTTTCTTTAAAAAAAGAAAATATAAGTTAGGTAATATATTTTCGAATTATCCAAACTTCCCCAAAATGTATTTTTTGTTTAAAATAAAAAATAAACTTTAATTTAAAAAGATATCAACATTTACCTGCGCATATTTGCGCTATTGAGAGAAATTCGTATTTTTATTCGGAGATCTTTTTCTTTCGATCTTGTATCTAATGAAAATGCAAAATCTTTTCTCCAAGACAAACTTGAAAAATCTAATTAATAATTTTAAAAATTATTTAAAAACTTATTCTTATTTTTTGCAATAATAAAATAATTTAAAATAATAATTAAACTTAATACAATTTAATTAATAAATCATTATCTTTAAGTTAAAAAAATAATCATAACTCTAGCTGTTTAAGTTAAAAAGTTACATAATTTTTTTCTGAAGAATGCGTTCTGGCTACTGGTGCGACTATCTATGTTCTTTTTCTTAAATCAATTGAGAAAGATATATTGAAAAAATACAAACTAACATTTTATCGGTATATCTTAATCAGTGCTTTGCTTGAGTATTTTCATCGAAATAAATTTATTTCATTCTTAAATTTTTGTGTTATTTCTCATTAATTATATAATGTGTGATGTATGCTTTTTCAAATATAAATTTTTAACAAGTTATTACATCGTCAATCGTTGGCTATTGAATGTGGACAGGGGAGCGCAAATGCTTACGAACGAGGAAGGCGCATAAGCAAATTGTGAATATGATAATGCGCCTTCGCAATCCGACGTTGTATTTCAACGACGTTTCTCCTCGACTGCTCGGTCATTTGTTTTCCGGAGCTCTAACTCCATTTCACGACAACCTGACGAATGGGAATATTCCCTATCTCCTATGATTGCTTGAAGTGAGCGATTTTCACGCCAAGGCGAAATACTGAAGTAATATACTGTTGCGAGAAGCACGAGAGTTATTTAGGAATTTTTGTTTGGCGTCTTTCTCCACAATTTTTTATAATCTCGTAGAGTTATTAAATCTTTTATTAATAACCATGGTTTTTATTAAAATTACTGGAGGAATGTTTCCTTATTCATTTTTCAATCTTCACGTGCAAGAAAACTTGACAATCTTGATCGTTAAGTCTGAGAATAATATTTTGAATTTCTTTAAAGAAAAATTAGCTCGCGCATTAGTTGAAGAGAAAAGAACAGTTAGACTTAAGAAAAAAAAAAAAAAAAGAAAGAAGAAGAAGAAGAAAAGTATGAGGAATTTGATGTACCTCGCGCACTGCGATATCCAGCAAAGACGCTCTTCGTGGGAGCGACGCGCTTAGTCGTGCACGACCCGGAATTTCGCAGAGACAGACCGGAGGAAGGCCGGGGGAGCACCTTTACAGCCGCGCATACGTATCGCCGAGAATTTATATTTTAAATCGACTCACATTAGGAGCGCGCGTTTAAACCGCGGTAAGGCCGCATTCCCTCGCGACCGAGGGCCGAGAGAAAGCACGTGCCACGTGGGCTTCCACACGTCGTATCAAACGCGCGTAATAACGTGACAAATGGCCACTTTACATGGCGACTACCGCGGGGACATTCTTGCCGGCGCGAGCATTATGGTTTAACGTTTGACGTCGGTCTCTTTAACCCCGCCGCGACGCCGGCCCCTCCTTCATCTTCCATTGTCGAGCCTCCTTTAGGACCGAAGGGATGCAGAGGGTGCGACAACTCAGTTTAGTCATTCCGACACCCGCGAAGACAACAAACGAGCATCAATATGTTTCGTCGAGAATCGTAAAATCTCGTCGGACTATCTCTTCAAGCTTTCCCACGTGCGGAAAATATCGTAATATTTCTTTTCTTCTTCTTCTTTTTTTTTTTTTTAATTACGATATTAATTTGAAGATTTTAGGATTAACAGACGAAATATTAGATACATAATCAGTTCTAGAATTATTTTAAATATTTGAGCACAGCACCGTAGCGCACTGCGATCGTAGATCAGATAGTGATCATATAAGACCGAGGCAGCCAACCAAAGTTTTGATTTACATATGTCACGCTTTTAAAATAAATCTCGGTCGGATACGCTCGGAAAGTACTTCGGAAAGTTACCTGTTACACGCGGGCTGAAAATTAAACCGGGATGCCCGTGTACAGGACGCGCACGTGTCCGCTCGTAAATGCACGCGCGCGGAACTCACGAGATATTTTACAATTACTGCGAAATCCATTAAGGCAAACCGAAATAGCGGCGTACACGGGGCCCGCATATACATATACGCGTAAGAGCGCGCAGACGGAAATTCACGAAACGACGAGAAGTTCTTGCGGAGTTATACGATCTTCTCGTCGTCCTCTCGCGGTAAGCTAAGTCACGTCGAGGACTAGTTGGGAAAACACGCCCCGTGGAACTTGCGGATATTTATGTTCACTCATTCGTTTGTCTCGTTATTTGTTCGACTATTCCCTTTAGGCACTAATCTCATAGGTTGCTATTAGCAGCGAGAATACACGGAATCGTTGTCATTGTTCACTTCAATTTGTGAAAAGTGAAAGAATTTGAACGAGTTCCGAATGTGAGCTTTTTCAAAGTAGAATAGATCAATGTGTAGTCAAACATTGAAAAGGATATACGATAAAATGCGATAAAAAATGTGATAAGAAAATTAATGAATTTGAATATAGTATTAAATTCAAAAGTGAATTTGAATAAAGTATTAAATTCATTATTATATTTATTAATGTCGTAAAACAATAAAAGAGAAATCCAAGTTGTATGCCAAGATATTTGAATCTACATCAAGTATACTACTTTTAGTTTTCTTCTCTGTTTATATTTTCTTAGCTCTTCGTACATTTGGCGTGGATTAGGAGATCTTCGCATTTATACACAAGAATGAAAGTCTGATAATAAGATCTAGCCAAAGTACGTAGAGAATCACCTCGCAAAATGCTACGAGAGGACCTAAGATACGACACTTGCGCTGTGGTTTTAACTTCTGGTTATATTCGTGGGTAAGAAATTCCTAAACTCAGGCGAGCCGTATCTATCTGTGCATACGTACATTTACATGGCTCACTTACATGAGTGTGTATTGTACGAAAACACAGGATTGAAATCCGCACCCTTCAGAATTATGTGGAGTTGCAATTCGGAAACTGAGAAATACTGAGGGATATTTTTAGGTATTATAGAAAATACAGCGGTAAATTTATTCTTACATTCGTATTAATCTGTTTCTAAAATAATTTTAGACAGGTTCAAGGCACATTGCATAATGATGATACCGTAACTAAAAAATATTGTAATTAAAAAATATACATAAAAATCGAAATTTCTCCTTCTCTGTAATCTCAGAGATTGCGAAATGTCTTGGCTTTGCACCGAGCAGCGCTTTCTTGCGAGAAATACATCTCTCTCTCCTCTGTGCTGATAGAAACACACTCACGGCGAGGATATTACATATCACAACAATGCACGGACTGGCGTGTAAAAACACGATGTTTTCGACAAAGCTAGAGAGCAGCCGGGAATTGCGGGTCGAGTCCGGCGATGGCTCGGGAGGAGTCGCGTGAATAAAAGGGAAATGTATGGAAGGAAAGATCTAATTTGTTCCTGTCGGGTCCGCTTTCGGATGCGTAGGTGGTGGTTCCTGAGGGAAGAGGGAGAGTGGTTTCGGGGGCGGAGAGGGGAGGGGGTGGGGCGGAATTAATATTCATAAGCGTCCAGAGAGGTTTCGAGGGCGGGGTCAACTTACATGTATCTTTCGCTACTGACCCGAGCCACCGGCGCGATAACGGTCGGGAATTAAAATACTGCCCGCAGGTTTTAACCCTTCTTCGTCGTTCGGGGGTACGCGGCGTACGCGAACGTGGCCGATGTCCCACAACCCTTGATGGTAGTGGTGATGGTAGAGATGGGTGGTGTACTTCCACTCGGAGATCCTTAAAACTTCGGATATAACATTCGCGCAATCTTTTGCGGGATCTACTTGCTATTGTCCCGTGAAATGTAAATCTGGATTAAAGGGCGCCGTTAGGAGGAAGCTGTGGGAGAGGTTGGGGGAAAAAGCAGGACCACAATTGTGGACCTCACAAATTCGTTCTGAGAATTCCTAACGAATGAATACGACGAGTACATCTTCGAACGCGCATACGTGTTCAAAATGCACTGCCTACAAAACGTAGCGACTTATCGTCGCGCTGATCTAAAGTAGAGTTTTAATATTGTTAAATTTAAACTGCACATATTGTATTAATTATATCTTAGAAAATTAATTTCTAAGTTTTTTCTAGATTTTTAGAAATTTTTTAAGAAATAAACTTTTCCTACTTGAAAGACTATTAATCGATTAAAATTCTTCTAAAATTTTTATTTAGTAATACCTTTTATGCAAACGAAGTTTTATGCAAACTATTCTTTTCATGATAATTTTTGAGACAAGCTTAAATTAAATTTATCTTTTTACGTAACAAATGGTATTGAGTTCTCTAGGCGTGGGTATTATTTCAGATTGATAGATCTGTCGCGTTAAAAAGATGTCGAGTCGTTACTCGTATGTTACTCGCAGTTTACTCGTCGGATATCATTAGCCGAGGTGACTCATTGGACACGAAGTGACACAGCAACCAAGAACATCTCGAAGACGGGGCTGGAGCTAGATGAGCCAGCGCTTCCCGCGGTACACAATTAGTCCTCGGGTATTAATCCTGCCCGCTGGCCGTTACCCCGGACAGGATATTATGCCGCTGAAGGCGGCGAACAATGCGGATTATATGGGGAAAAACGCTTCGATAGCGTTTCTAATACGGAATCCACGTGGGTGGGGCGATGGTGGTGGAGATGATGGTTCACTACCACCAGCGTGCCGGTCGACGGCGGTGAGTACGCCGTCCTCGTAAACGTTAGCCCACGAACCGACTTAACTGGCTGGCAATAATAAAATGATATAGGAGGCGAAATATGCATTTAAATTATCGCCCCGCGATAATAATTTGCATACCGCTGCGCGGCACCTCTCCGCCAGTTCGATGGGCCCCCGGTTCGCTTAGTTTAGCCCCGTTTAATTTAAATAATACTTCTCGGCGCGGGGGAAGCCGAGGCCGAGGCAAGATATACATAAAATCGCCATAACATTATAAATTATAACTGATACGGCTTATATCGCGAGAGTGAGAGCTCCGGCCTCCGCTTTCTCATCCTCTCTTTTTCCCTTCCTCCATCTCTCTCGCACGCTTTCTATCTTCTCTTCCGTCGTCGTCATCGTCGTCGCGCTGAGATGCGTATTCGGACGATTACGGATACCTAAAGGGCTCCTGGTCTGATTAAGGTGCGCCAAATGAGGCCCCTCGATCCCCGAACCATTAATTTCGAATCACGGAAGCGGAAAGAGACCGAAAGTTAACCCCCGGACGAAGGGGGTTGACTCTTTCGCGGTGGTCGATGATCGTAGAGCAATTTTTGCAGACAATGAAGTATGTTTTAATTTAAATGAACGCGGTAGATTTCTTTATTTAAATATATAAATGCGTCTCAGAGCAACTCGCAAATGGCAGCTCGAATAGCCTCCTCCAACACGAAGGATCCATAACCATAAAATGTTCACGTCCATCATTCCCATTAGCCTAATAACGGGCGGAAGAATTAATAATCTGCCAGTGGATCGAAGAAACTCGAATTCTATGCTAATCAAATGGCGGTCATCGCGCTCGGGCGATATGAATTTCTCTCCCTTCCATCCCAACGGCGATTCCACGCTCGCAATTGCCACCACCAATTCTATTCGCACGCATGCACAAGCATGCGAAACGTGCCGCTTCGCCTCAAGGCTTTATGTTATTATTTTATCAAGTCGTAATACAGAGAGGACGACCAGTGTGTTTGAACGCTCGTGTTGTGTGACGACAATTACGTACAATGTGCCACAGAAATCGTATCTTATTATAAATTATAGATGTAAGAATCTGAATTGAAAAAAAGTGAAAGAGGTTTCTTCAGCTCCGAGATGTCTGTAACTTTGAAATTGATCGTTCTAATCAAAGATCGAAGTCTCATGCGACTCAAGTTTTCTTTTTCTGCTTGTTTTGATTGGATAATCAACATCCAAGTGCCGAGAGATGTTCGATATTAATAAATAATGCAAAGTTCGATTATATTTGCGGCGAAGCCGCGCAATTTTCGCGACACACCCCGTATACATACACGCACTTTGGTGGGTTTTCTCATACGTCGGATGGCCTCGTGCTATCCGCGCCGCGCGATGCTCACCCATCGTCGTGCCAGCCAGGCCACGCAATTCCGCAAAGTATGCAGATCTAAGAATTCAAATGGCCGCCCTATACCGCCCGTAAAATGGCGGACAATCGCGCTCGTAAACCACTATATTAAAATTCTATATCGTCCCCCGTGTAGCCGTCACCTTCCATCCCCCGACCGTCGGTTACCCCTCGCTTCGTACTCCGTGCGCTTTTCCCATTCTTGCTCGATGGTCCAGGCGTAACCCTCCGCGTCCACCTACCGATCCTTGCATTGTACTGAGTTTGCGGGCTATTCACCGGACACACGGACGTTCGCGTTTATATGCGTGCCGCGGTCATGCGTGCGGACATTGGCGCCTCGTGGCCGAAGTATAAAATGAGCGAGCGCATCTACTTGCGGAAATGAGCCGGAAAAGCGACGGACATCGCGTCGCGCGGTAAGACGTAAAAAACTAGTAAGATCCTTCTTACTCCTCCTAGGTGATTAAGTGGACTTGCATTTACGTTCAACGATAATAATAAAAATATAAATAATATAATAATATAATAAAAATATAAATAATATAAATATAAATATAAATAATGGATTTCTCATTAACGAAAAATTTTTGATATGCTATTTAGGTCATCTGACCATTATTATTTCCATTTTTGCGTATGCATATGCCTTATTTATAAAATATGCAACATAATATAATTCGACAATCGTTTGTCTTCTTCTATGATTTATTTATGAATTAATTATATATATTTTATATCCGATTAAGCGAATATCAAATTATAAGATAGAATAGAATGTTTACGCAATGTTACATAATCAAGAATTTCTCAAACTTGTTATTACATCAAATTGTTTTGTACATTTATTTAATGGATAATAATGCGATTGCTTGATATAGTGCATATTGTAAAAACATCTAATACGATTGATATTTATAATATTGTATTTTTTTTAATATTGTATCTTCTAAAACTCATACGGTTGTCGTACTCGCTTCGTTGCGTTCACGATCATTCACCGGACATACGCGTTTATATGCATGTCGCGGGCATGCGGACATTGGCGCCTCGGTTCTTGGATGTCCGGTTGAAGAGCATACATCCAAGTATATTCACATAAAGTATATATATCTCTACTTCAGAAAATAATGATATATCAACAGCAAAGGCGCCGGCAGACGATCGAACAGCACAGCAATGTCGCAAGGAATTTTATTTCTTCGTCGATAATACACGAAGAAAAAATTCGTGTAATAATTGGATTAAATATAAATTAAATGGAAACAATTTATGCAAATCAAACAAATTCTATAAATGCGCGAAAGCGAAAATTTCGGTATTCTTTTAATATCTCAGAAAACAATTCGCGAACTTTACCCTTCGCTTACGTGAGATGTAATATACTTCAATTTAAACAACCGAGTCGAAAAGAGTTAATGGCAGTGACAGGACAGAAACGGTCAATTATATCGAGCTAGCCGACGAATGTGAAAGATAACATTTCAAAGAGGGTGGCGATGAAACGTACATACAAGCAAGCGTAATCGCAGGAGGAAAGGACATGCCCCGTGATATCGGCGAATTCTTTTACGAGATGGGGTGCCGTAAGCGCGTGAGGAGGGTGAGGAAGGAAGCGGAAGCGAGTAACCGTAATGGCAATTACGGCTTCGCGCATATCGCTGATTCACGTGTGTCTCACGTGTGTACGCAACGGCGAGAGCGTACGCAATAAGTTAATCGCGTTAGCGGCTCGCTTGATTAAACGAGCGATCAGCCTGATGGCTGCCCGCCGTGGGTGCGGCGCGGTCGGACATTAATACAAAACTCGATTGTCATTCGTCGCCTGACCCCGCAGCCCCCTGATTACATCGATTCATTAACCGTGGCTGCCCTGTCGGTGTACCGTAGCGATGTACCGGGGCCACGGCCCCGAAAATCAACTGACCTTTATCAACGTCCTGTCGTAGAAACGAAATTGTCCGCACGCGATAAAACGCGGTCAATGATTCTCCGCGATCGATATGTAGCCTAAGTAGGAAAAAATGGTGCGTTTACGCGACGAATGTAATTTACAACGCCACACGAAAGAATAGATGTACTCATTACTACGACAAGCCCGAATTCGATATCATCTTTGTGTGCTTTTTTTATCATTATTTAGAATTTTATTATTATAATTAGAAATGTATATTTATAAAATAGTTATTTATATATAGATATATAGTATGTAATAAAATTTATTGTGTATAATGTTTATATATTTATATATAATATTTTTAATGTAACAAACTTTAGTCTTACATCTCGAAGATCCTTTTAACAATGAAATATCAATGCGTGCACTCTCTCATCCATGTTTGCTTTCTGAAATGCGAAATATTCACGAGATTCGATTAATAATCGTCGATTGATCTCACGTTCGCTGAGGCTGACACGATAAAGAGGCAACGAGACGAGACGGGTTTCGACGTCGACGAATGACGCCTCCGCGCATTTAAAAGTTTTCTCCTCGTTAAGATGTATTCCCCGGGGTCGTCGTCGGCAGAGCCTAACGAGAGAGTGCCATGTTCCGCACTGTTGTTTCTTTCTCTCCCTCTATCTTTCTTCCACTGTTAGAAACACATTTATTAACGGCAGCTCGGCTCATCCCGCCGCTAAGTACCGGTAAGAGAGTACCCTCCCTGTTGCTTTTCCTCTTTCCTACCGAGAGCCTTCATTCACTTTGGATAGCTGTCTGCCGTCCCGTTCGGGGGCGGAGAGAGAAAAAAAGACGTCACATTGTCGACGCCTTATTAATCCGGAGACGAGGGTGAGAGACAGTGAAGGCTGCAAGCTTCGGCGAAGATGCTCGAAGTGTCGCGAGGTTGGGTCCTTTGAAGAAATTAAAAGAACAGAGGGTATAATGTGAACACATCTATTCCCAGATCCCCGTCGCACGTCTCTTCTCCCCTTTACCCTCCACTTCGCTATCTTTCTCTTTCTATATCTTCCTTTTCTTCCCTTTCCACGTTCTTCCTTCCCCTGCGAGAAGAGGACCCATTAACATCGCCGTTACGCGAATTCTCGCTAAGCACCAGTCGGATAGACATCTCTCGAGTCTTGTCACGGTTTCTTAAAATCCGGCTTATATCCGAGCTAGCTTCTCTTCTTGACCTATTCTCTAAACGTTTTCTCTCACCTTCTCAAATTTCTTCCTTTTCCGCTTTTAATACTCCATAAAAGGAGGCGAAGAATGATTCTATACTTCGCGTAACAGAACTCTTATCTTATAATTTTACTTGCTAATGACACGTAACATCATACAAATCATAAAAATTGATAAAAGATCACCATTAATCATAGAAATTGATGAAAGTGTAACGTATTGTCATTGTTATCACTATCGTGAAATATACTGTGCCATTGCTTGATAAAATACGTGAAATATACACGCCCAATGCCAACTTTTCAACTTTAAAGGCATATCCGGACGCCGGCACTCGAATGGCACGCACTCTCTGCATTTGTATCAATTCACATTCGGTAATACGCGTGTTTCTGCGAACCCGAAAAGAGAAGTACGACCATTTCGCGCGAAGAGCGATCGTCATAATGTAAGGCATCTGCGTAAGGATGGCAAACGAGGACGTTAGCCGAATAATGCAAAGCAAACCCTGAGCTGAGATATAGTCCGGCATTTGTTCATATTAAGGCGCTGTCATGACGCTCGCAATGTTCGCACGTCGGGGTCAACCCTCCTACGTCCCTATCCGCCTTCTATACGCGACATTTCGGCCGCGTGCCCGCGTGTGTTTTGAAATTATATAACGCGAGAACGCGCCCGACGTCGTTAGTCAACTCGCGCCGCATCTCGCTGTTAACTATGTGTATCTTGAGCACCCGTTACATCGCCATTTGTCAGGTCCGCTTCGCCGTACGTGCGCAATTTCGCGCGTTAAGTCGCGCGCATCCAGCGCGATATTTCGGCCGACTGTGACAACCTGTGTCCGGGATTTGTCTTGGACCGATGTTTGCCGAGGAGTTTGCAAACAGCGACTAAATGCTGCAATGCGAAAGAAATACATTGCCAAAGATCGTCGCGTTCTCACGTCTCTTTCCAGCAGACAGCAGTCGAAATATTCGCATGCGTGCTACGCGTTTCCTGAGCGTTCTCGATTTAAATAGATATTTATTTTTGTATTAAATTTTAACAATAAATACATTTTACCGAAATAATATGTGTACGTAAAGTGATGATAAAAACATTTCGCGGGAATCGGCGATCGTCACAAGTGCACTCTGGGATTGTCCTCGGTCTTGAGACATTTCAATCCGACGAGAAGCGAAATTCAGACTCGTCTGGCAAGCAGACTTTGATCATAAGTGACACGCGCGACTTTACGGTAAACCTAAGTTCTAAACTAATAAGGCAACACTAGGGTGACATGATCGGGGAATAGAGAGGAAGGGAGAGAGAGAGGAAGAGTGGAGATGGAGAGACGACGATGGAAGCAGAAGGGTCCAAGTTTCATGTAGCTGCGAACCGGGTCACCGATTACGACGTTGATCGTCTACAGGAGACAACCAAATTGGATAAGTTGAAGGAGTGAAATTTTCTTCGTCGCCCATGACCCCTATTAAACTCAGAAAGATTTCACTCAAATATATTTTTGACTTGCATTTTATATCAATTACACAGCATGTCAAATTTTATTTCTACGCAAAGTATTCCAAACCTCCTAAGTATTGCATAATTTTTAAGAAATTCATATAACATTTTTTTATATACGTGTCTTAATTTTGGACATTAATAACATTTGTGTTCAACATGTTGAACACAAATGAATTCAAAATTAAAATTATTTAGTTCTTATTTTAGTTATACATTTCTGTTATTTTTAATTTATATTTTCTGTATAATTGAGTTTTCTATATTCACTAAAAATATATTCCATATGAAGACCGATGTTACGAAAAAAAAGAATTATTGCTGATAGAGCACCACATTCGTTTCCCAGTCCGGGTTTTCGCTGCCGAAAGAGAACGAAGAGCGCGCGTTAGGTGGTTGGCGGGTGTAAATTTGCATTGAACGAAATGAGGCGCTATGGGGCATTCCAGTCCGAAGTTAATAGCTTCC